CCTCCTGCCTTGTCTTTGGTGGCCAAGAGGTCCTGGTGGCACCTCCTGCCTTGTCTTTGGTAGCCAAGAGGTGCCACCTCCTGCCTTGTCTTTGGTGGCCAAGAGGTCCTGGTGGCACCTCCTGCCTTGTCTTTGGTGGCCAAGAGGTCCTGGTGGCACCTCCTGCCTTGTCTTTGGTGGCCAAGAGGTCCTGGTGGCACCTCCTGCCTTGTCTTTGGTGGCCAAGAGGTGGCACCTCCTGTGAATCTGGGCTGTCCTGAGTGTCCCCAGGTGTCCCAACCCCCGGCCCTGGTGCCACCTCCCCTTCCAGGACAGCTTTGGCTACGACCTGCCGGCGGTGGAGGCGGCCATGAAGAAGCACGAGGCCATCGAGGCCGACATCTCCTCCTACCAGGAGCGTATCCAGGTGGTGGTGGAGCTGGCCCTGGAGATGGTGGCCGAGGGCTACTACGACACCAAACGCATCGTGGCCCAGAAGGACAATGTCCTGCGCCAGTGGGGCCTCCTGACCCAGCTGGTCCGGGCCCGGAGGGCCCGTCTGGAGCAGAACTTGGCCCTCCAGAAGATCTTCCAGGAGATGGTCTACATGATTGACTGGATGGAGGAGATGCAGGTAGGACCTTTGGGAGGTGGTGGAGACCCCCAACCTGCCCTGTCGAGAGGAGGTGATGGTTTGGTTGGGTCCTTCTGTAGGTGGTGTTGGTCTCCAAGGAGGTGGGGAAGCATCTTCTGGAGGTTGAGGACCTGCTGCAGAAGCAGGGGCTGCTGGAGGCCGACATCTCTGCCCAGAGCGAGAGGGTCCAGGCCCTCAATGCAGCTGCCCTCAGGTTCTCCCAGCTGGAAGGTGAGATGGGAGGTCACCAGGAGGACGTGGAGGGGCTGGAGAGATGATGGGAGGTCACCAGGAAGAGCTGGAGGGGCTGGAGAGATGATGGGAGGTCACCAGGAGGGGCTGGAGGGGCTGGAGAGCTTGGGGAGGGTCAACCAAAGGGTCACCCAAGAGGACCATGGGGAGGGTCAACCAAAGGTTGTCCCAGGAGGACCTGGAGGTGCTGGACACCTTGGGGAGGGTCAACTGAATGGTCCTCCAGGAGGATCATGGAAAGGGTCAACCAAAGGGTCTCCCAGGAGGACCTGGAGATGCTGGAGAGATGATGGGAGGTCACCAGGGGGACCTGGAAGGGCTGGAGAGCTTGGGGAGGGTCAAGCAAAGGGTCACCCAGGAGGACCTGGAGGTCCTGGAGACCTTGGGAAGGGTCAACCAAAGGCTCTCCCAAGAGGACCATGGGAAGGGTCAACCAATGGTTCTCCCAGGAGAACCTGGAGATGCTGAAGACCTTGGGAAGGGTCAACCAAAGCTTCTCCAGGGCTTCTGTAGACCCTCACCAACCAACACCTGGTCCCCCCTTCGCTCCAGGCTACCAACCCTGTGACCCTCAGATCATCTGCAACCGGGTCAACCACGTCCAGACGTGCCTGGAGGAGCTGGAGGAGTTGGCGGCCAAGAGACGCAAAGACCTGGAGGACTCTCGTCAGCTTTGGACCTTCTTCCAGGAGATGGAAGAGGCCGAGGCCTGGATCCGCGAGAAGGAGAAGATCTTGGCGGCCAAAACGTGTGGCCGGGACCTCAGCAGCGTCTTGACCTTGACCACCAACCACAAGAGCATGTTGGGTGAGCTGGGCAACCGTCGGGCCCTGCTCCACCAGAGCGTGAAGAAAGGGGAGGAGATCCTGGCCAAGAGGAGCCTCAGCCCGGGGGGGATCCAGGAGAAGATGCGGGAGGTGCGACGGCGCTGGAAGAAGCTGGAGGAGACGATGGGTTTGCACCAGCAGCGTCTCCAGGAGGCCCTCAACTTCTTCCAGTTCACCTCGGAGCTGGACGACCTGGTGGGCTGGCTGCAGGACACCTACCGCGTCGTCTCCAGCGACGACTTTGGCCACGATGATTATTCCACCCAAGGGCTCCTCCGGAAGCACCGGGCGGTGGTGGAAGAGGTGGAGAAGCAGCGAGGGACCATCCTGGCCCTCAGGAAGCACCTGGCTCTGCTGGCTCCTCATCATCGCCAAGGGGTGGACCTGCAGATCAGGGTGGTGGAGGTGGAGCAGCTCTACGGGGAGGTGGTGGAGGTGGCCGTGCTGAGGCAGCAGTGGCTGAAGGACGCCCTGGCCATCTACAGGATGTTCAGCGAGGTCCACGCTTGTGAGGTGTGGGTGGACGAGAAGGAGCAGTGGTTGGAGAAGATGGAGGTTCCCGAGGAGTTGGATGAGGTTGAGGTGGTGCAGCACAGGTGGGTGGGGGTGGTTGGGGGGTGGTTGGTTGGGTGGTGGTTGGTTGGGTGGTGGTTGGTTGGGTGGTGGTTGGGTGGTGGTTGGGTGGTGATGGTTGGGGGGTGGGTGGATGGGGGGG